GGAAGTTTGGTGTGTCGGCGCAGATCTTTGGAGTTTTCAGGGTTGCTTGCTTCTTCCTTGCTTTGCTGGACTGGGTGCTGTTGTGGTTCACTGGCATCCTGTACAGACGGCAGCAGAATCGGACAGTGGGGAAGAACGGGGACCAGTCCGGAAGTCTGGAGAGGACTCGGACGAGGGTCCTGTGTCCGATACAGAGATGGGGCCAGGACCATCTGGGAGTGGGGTGTTGACTCCAGAGCCTCCAGAGTCTGGCAGCAGCGAGGAAGAGGAACAAGGGGAGCCTGTTCCCAGTGTGCGCATGCGCAGAGCTGCTAGAAGGTAAGAGCAGCTGAAACAAAAGAGGTGACTTGGGAGTAAGACTTGGAGGTGATTGGACATAAGACATAAAGATAAGACATAAAGGAGGAGCAAAGAGACAGGAGCCTTTGCAGGAAGCAATGTTGTTCGCTCTGTTTGGATTAAACCTTGAAACTATGTGTGGACTTTGGACTTTGGTTGTTTTTTTACAGTTAATTTGGCACTTTAGTTGTTGGCAGCTATTCAAAGGAGAGAAAGGTGAGTGCTTATCTCAAGGAACTGTTTGGGATTCATTGCAAGCTGGGAATAAACATAATTCCCAGCATTGAAATGAAACAAGTTGTTTGGATTAAGCGTGTGCTTAATTACGGTCTCAGGAAGCTTTGGTCAGGGTAGGTGAAGCCAGAGGCTGCCGTGTGTGTGTGTGTGTGTGTGTGTGTGTGTGTGTGTGTCTGCACACATGTGCATGTGCACTTTGCTCTGGGACTTGCCAAGAACATGGGAGCATTTGGGGGGGAAAGAATTTGGAGCATTAAACGGGAGTTTGAACTCTCAGCTTGGCTGCGTGACCTTCGTACCTTTGTCCCAGGTCATCACAGTTTATTTCAGGCAGGTAACAGATAATCAGAGTTGGAAGAGACCTTGTAGGTCATCTAGTTCAACCCACTGCCCAAGCAGGAGACCCTACACCATTTCTGACAGATCTCTTCTTGAAATCTCAAGTGAAGGCCTTGTTATCCTATGCAGAAGCCCCCAACTTTCTTTCTTTTTTTTTTAATGCTACGGGAGGAGTCAAAGCAGAATTGGCTCCACACATCATCTGAACATGTTTGATGTCCTTCAGTCAAGCCACAGGGGTTTTAGGAGGAACTATCCCTGAAGAAGCCCGCTCGGTCTCAACAGCTTCTGGTTTCCATCCTGGACACTTATATATTCAGCTGCTATCTTGTCACACAGCAATTCTGGGGCCAAAACTGCACTGATGCTTCCAGGCAGCGTCTGAGCTATCGACCCAGGATAAGCTTCTGAACATTGGATGCCGGGCTGTGTTATCATGCTTGGAAATGCCTTCCTCGTCTAAGAAGAACGTTAGTTGTGCAGCTGACCTCTCTTGCATGACAACTGCAATGTAGCTGTGGTTGGAAACAACTTACACCAGAAGCAGAATCTCCCAATAGAGCGTTCAATCGGAGGTGGTATTCAGCCGGTTCAGACTGGTTCTGGAGAACCGGTAGTGGAAATTTTGAGTAGTTCAGAGAACTGGCCAATCCCACCTCTGACTGGCCCCGCCAACCCCATCTCTTCTCTGCCTCCCATTGAGTCCCAGCTGATTGGCTGGGTCTCCTTTGGTTGCACTGCATAGGAGAAGGGAGCTGGAAAGCAGGTTAATGGGATGGGGAGGGAATGGGGATTTTGCAGTAACCTTCCCATGCCCACCAAGCCACGCCCACAGAACCGTTCTTCTTCTTCTTCTTCTTCTTCTTCTTCTTCTTCTTCTTCTTCTTCTTCTTCTTCTTCTTCTTCTTCTTCTTCTTCTTC